GACCACGTGACGTTCACGATTGACGTTGACCACAGAGGCGGTGACAGTTGCGAACGCTGCAAATGAGCCCGTGTTTAGTTAAAAAAAAGTTCTAAAAAAGTGCTATAGTATCCATCACATCGAATCTTACGATACGTGTATGAAGCATTAAATGTAGACGAAAAAAAACTAATTGCACAGTTTGATTGGAAATCGCGAGACTAACGTTTTGAGCCTAATTAATGGGACATGCTATATTTCAGATGTCTGAAAATATAGTTTTTGTTCAGGCGATAACTACAACCATCAGATTTACATGCAACGATCCTAATCTATAGAAGGCTAAGGATCCGATCAATAAAAAGCTGTCGCCTGAAAAGAACCCACATTTCAGGCACCCGAGCAATAGGAAAAGTGCTAATTAATTCATGATTGAACACTAATTGTTAAATAAAAACGAAAGTACTACTGTAGCCAAATTCTAACTTTTTCAACTTACTAAACACGGGCTCAATGCAAAAATGCTACTAGTACAGTAACTGGGACCGAAGGTGCTCATCAAACTTCAAGGATACGACTGCACTTGCCCATAGCAGTAGCAGATCGAGGGTAGTGCGCTGTGCGCATGTTGGGAGGAGTTGCGGTTGCGGGTGCCCAAGCAGAAACGCCGGCGGCGGCGAGGGATCGGAGATGAAAATCTTGCGCGTGCACGGTTCTGAGGATTTTCGACACTACATTTTAGGCTTAGACTACTGGCTTTGTTTGAATAACACAAGTGAAGACAAATTATTTTACAGATCTGAAATAAATTAAGAAAGCCCTAGCAATAAATCTTGATATCAATCGATTCCCTAATCACACAGGACAAGAATGGGAGAGACCGAGAGAGACACAGAACGTGAGCTGAGAACTTTTGTGAAAAGTAGGGTTGTGAACAGTTTGATGAATAAATAGTTTAATAGGAAACCATTCCCAACACAGGTCTTATGGTCTATCGGCTAGGACATTGGACTCTGAATCCAGTAACTCGAGTTTAAATCTCGGTAGGACCTTTTTTTTTTGTTTCATATTTCCTGAATCCTTTTCCTATTTTCTGTTTTATTATATCATTTTATGTTTCACTTTCCTCTCCCCTTATAATCATCTTCCAATTTCCTGAATCCTTTTCCTATTTTTGTTTAATTGTATCATTTTATATTTCACTTTCCTCTCTCCTTATAAACATCTTCCAAGTTACTAGGTCATACCAGGCTTCGTTCTAAATCCATCTCTCATGTAAAGAATCGTTCCGTATGCTAAACTGTACCATGCAAGTACGTTCTCGTTCTATGTCAAAGTTTCTCCATTTGAGGTTCTCTCAAGAATGCAAGTAACACATGTTTTCCTTTTAATTCTTTTATATTTTTTGGGAATTTAATTCTTTTATATTAAAAAAAGGTAACGATAACATGGGTATGCTTAAATGTCACTTTAGGCCCATTGTAATTTTGTATACCAACAACAACAAATGAAGGTTATAGGAAGTGGGTTTCCTACAATTTGTAAACCTTTTATTATACGCTTTGTTCGAAAAGAATGTGAATCTCATTTTTCAAAGGAGTCAAATATTCTTAAATTTAACTAAATTTATAGAAAAGTGTCAAGATTTTTATCTCTAAATGGTTCATTATGCAAATATAGTTCATCACTTGATCTAATGATAGTTATCACGTAGCATAACTATTAGTATTTTCTTATATATATTTAATTAAAGTTAAGATTAATTGACACCTCTAAAAATGGTATTTATCTTTTTTTAGACACTATGGAGGTCTCAACCACTGACAACAAATAAAGGTTGTACATAGTGGGTTGCATATAATTTGTAAATAAAGTATTTATTATATACCAAAACTATGGAGGTCTCAACCATCCTGTGGGGGTTATCGCAACATTTCAGATTGTACCCGTTGCCCATATACTACCTCTATCTGCTACTGACCACAGTCCTGTTTCGAGTAGATGACGACTTCCATCGTACATGGGTCCCTGGGCCTAATGTGCCATGTATAGGCTGAAGCATGCATGCCCCAGCGTGGAACGAAGCAAGAGAACATGTGTCAAGGCCAAACAATCTGTTCCTCTATATACATGGCCCCGCCGGCTCTTTGACGAGCTGACGAGTGACGAGGCACGACGAATCAACGACCAATCGCAACTCCAAGTCGCGATAGACGACGGGCAATGGCCACGCCCATGCTCGAGGGGGAGCTGGCAACAGCGTAGGCGATACTAGCGCCGTTGCATTATTATCACTCTTGTTTTTCCATATGATTCCTTTGTGGTATAAATTAGCGCTATAAAGTTCACCTGAGGTGGATTTTTATCTTAAATCTGCCACTAGGGCTAGATCTAGAGCCATCTAAGGGTATTTTTTAAGACATCATTGGAGGGGTAAGCGTCCCACCTAAATATTTTCCATTGATACTTGCAAGCTGAGAGATGGAGGGTGCTTTGGCACCTACAAATATATTTTTTGGGGGGGGTTGGATTTGGGGTGTTTGGCTCCCAGTCGAAACTCGCCATGCACGTTGTGGAGTCGCCACACTTTACCACGCAAAAAATGACTGCGCACACCTATGTCGTGGTTTTGCACTAGGAAAAGCCGTGGCTGCCACACCTACATGCTGAACCAAACAACAGGTTTTCAATGCATGGCGCGCCACAAGTGAGGCATGTCAACATGCGGCGGGGAACCAAACACAACCTTTCACCCCAAAGAGTTACAAAAGGGGAAAAAGTCCTTTCGACCCCTTCACCTTTTGCAATCGTCCGATTTACCTCCCTCATTTACAAACCGGTTGTTTGACCTCTTCAACTTTCAAAACCGTTAGATTTTGCACCTTGGGCGGTTTTGATGGTGGTTGTGCTGACCTGATGCCACGTCAGAGCGAGGTAAATTGGACTCATTAAAAGTTCACGGAGGTAAATCAGAGTAGGAATATTTTTAAAAATATATCAAAAAATCTAAGAAATACATTTTCAAAAATTTATCTTAATATTTTACATGAAAATAATGCAATTAAAGTTCATGAAATTTGGCTAACTCTTATAGAATTTATAGAAATATTGTTTTAGCTTGGAAAATTATGAAACTAGTTTCATTTTTTTGTAAAATCATGCTCTATCTTATGGTGTCTAGCTTGAAATAATTTATATCTTGACGGACTCATTTCGATGCTAATTTGCTAGTGAAAACTTCTGTTATCTATTATAATTTCACGATGTTGTCTGTCCGGTCTATGTAGAAGCACTGTGGAACTTCATTAAACTCAATGATTTGTAAAACTCAATTAAATATATTAAATAGAGGGTGCATGCATCAACGCAATCTAACATAACTACTTTGGAAAATTATCCAGGACAGGGACCAGCGCCCACTACAGTCGTATGTTATGTTGGTGCTTCTACATAGTCCGAACGATCAACATTGTCTAATTATAACAAGAGCTTCTACTAGCACAATTTTAAACTAGGCACCATAAGATAGAACATGATTTTAGAAAAAGTTGAAACTAGTTTCATAATAAAATAATTTTTTAATGAATTTTATAAGAGTGAGCCAATTTTTTTTATTTTTAATTGCATTGTTTTATATCATGTAAAAATATTTTGATATTTTTAAAACATATTAGTCCAATTTACCTCTAAAAACTTTTAACTAGTCCGATTACCTCCTCCAACGTGGCACCACGTCACCAAAACTACTATCAAAACTGATCATGATGAAAAAGCAAACGGTTTTGAAAGTTGAAGGGGATAAAAACAGTTTTGTAATTGTTTTTTTAAACTAGTTTTATAATTCAATTTTGTTGGACTCCACATGAGTAGATCTGCACAGTGAATATATAATATGGTATGCTTTAGTACAAAAATTTTGCTGTAACTTTAGATCTATGTTTTTCTGTAATTAAATGGAATAATTTATAGCTGCGGTTTCTATGGTCCAATTATGGTGAAATTTTTATGGTGGACTAATTATTGTATGATTAAACTATAGTAAAAATTTCATATTCATCGGATCATGTATAACTTAGTTATATATTTTATTTAGGTTTATGCTTGTTAAATATAAATAAATCTATAACTAAGCCATACATGATCCAATGAGTATGAAATTTTTACTACAGTTAAATCATATAATAATTAACTCACCATAAAAATTTCATCACAATTGGACCATAGAAACTGCAGCTATGAATTATTCCAATTAATTACAAAAATATAGATCTAAAGCCACAACAAAAACTTTGTACTAAAGCATACCATATTATATGTCCACTTGTAGATCTACTCATGTGGAGTCCAACAAAATTAGATTTTCCATTTTATGGTTTTTTTTATTTACTATGATTTTTCAAAGATTCAGCCGAAGTAAATAAAAAAGAAAAAGACAAAACCGCCTTCAAAACTGCTTATAACAGGGCTAAGAAGGTAAGATGAACGGTTTTAAAAGTTGAGTGAGGTGTTTTACCCGATTTTGGAGTTCAGAGAAAAAAATGGACTTTCGTGAGAATGGAGGGAGGTAATATGGATTTTTTTTTCCTTGAAAAAACTTTTTTCGGGACAATACAGCCATGTAGGGGACTAGGGGAGCGGCACCTTCTGGATTGGGCCAGTCAAGCGCTATGGTGGTGTAGCCAGGCCCAGCTCGGTCCATGAGCAGCATTCCTGTCGGCTTGCAGATCCATCACGCCATCGGCGAAAATATCTGGCTCTAGGGAACCCTCCCGGTCCCGGTGCGGTAGGCCCACCTCGGCTAAAATATCTGGCTCTCGGGAATCCTCCGCACGGACCGCTCCTTGCGCGGTCGCCGCCCGATCCGATCATGACGGCGCCCGTCGCGGCCGTCGCGCTATAAAGCCGCGGGGTAGGGCATCCGTGCTCTCCCGTGCTCTCTCAGAGGTGGGTTGGCTTCTCCTCCCCCTCTTACCAAGTCCTCGTCCTAGGTTTAGGGTTGGTTAGGGTTCTGTGGAGGTGAGATGGCGGCGGCGGACGTGGAGTACCGTTGCTTCGTCGGCGGGCTGGCCTGGGCCACCAACAACGAGTCCCTGGAGCATGCCTTCGCCTCCTACGGCGAGATCCTCGACTCCAAGGTCCGTTTCATTTCGTTCACTGGATTTTGTTCCGTGGTCGCTCTGTGCTGTTGTGAGGCTAGATCCGTGTCGTGGTTCAATAGATCTGCCATGTTTTGGTCCGGATCTGCGTTCACTCGAATCGAACATCCAGTGTGATGCCGCCGTCATGTGATTTTGCAGATCATCACCGACCGGGAGACGGGGAGGTCCCGCGGGTTCGGCTTCGTCACCTTCTCCTCCGAGCAGTCCATGCTCGACGCCATCGAGAAAATGAACGGCAAGGAGCTCGACGGCCGCAACATCACCGTCAACCAGGCCCAGTCCCGCGGCGGAGGCGGCGGCGGCGGCGGCTACGGAGGCGGCGGTGGCGGCTACGGCGGGCGCCGTGACGGTGGCGGCTACGGAGGCGGCGGCGGCGGCGGCGGCTACGGTGGCGGCGGCTACGGCGGGCGCCGTGACGGTGGCGGCTACGGCGGCGGTGGCTACGGCGGTGGCAGCCGCGGTGACTCCGGCGGCAACTGGAGGAACTGATGTGTGGACTCCACCCTGGCTTCGGCCAAGTTATCCTAGCTATCTATCTATAGTATCGTGTTACCGTTGGATTCTGAGTTAACTTTGGATTAGGTGGTGTTGGTACCCCGTGATATGTTATTGTCCGATTTGGTTACTTCCGCTATGAGAGCAATGTTATTGTCCGCTTTGGTTACTTCCGCTATGAGAGCAAGGCATAAGAAGTGAGAGGTCTGCTATGAATGAAATGAGATGAGTGAGCAAGGTTTTTGTTCGCATCTACTTTTGTGCTCTGAAATTTCTCTGTTATCCGTGATTGAACTCTCTCACTGATGGCTGTGGCTATACAAATATCAACTGCCTACCTAGACAAATATCTTCTGCTCCGATAGGACGCTGCAAATATACGGAGGACGCAACAAATATACGGATAACAGATTTAGAGAATTCGCTTCGATACAAAGAATTTGATATCCTAAAATACACTATGCTTTATGCTCCTAAATACACAATTCTTTCAGACATAACACACAAGACACAATGCTCTCCCAGTCCTAAAATACACAATTCTCTTTCAGCCCTTGAAATTTTGTAAAGCAATCTAGAACTGCTAATAGACCTCTCTTTGCTAATATGGAGCGAGAAAAATTGCCACCAAACAACTGCATCAGTTTGCATCAGTTTGGAGAGCATGGCAACTAGCAGACAGACTTTCTGCACTCACGATGCTTGATACGCAGCATGACAAAACTGGACGATGCTTGATACAGGCACCACAACTAGCACCGACGCTACAAATATCATCAGTCCAGGACGTAGATCCGAGAAGCCACGCCCTGGACCAGCCAGTCGAATCCCTCGAGAAGCCCCTCTCCTGTGTAAGCGCTGCAGCCCACAATCTTCCAGTGCCTGCTGCTGTTCATCACTTCCAGATTCAGAACCTGAAAGGGAGGAAGGTGAGTCAAGTCTGCCGTGGAAAAAACTATAACGAATTCAGATGGAGAACTGCACTTTCTGCATTCGCAGCACAAACACATTAGTATAAAAAACAAATGCTATCAACTATGATGGAAATCTCAGGCCCTGTTACCCTTTGGCTACGCACAAACAATTTGTTTTTACGGACTGTTATCACAACAAGAATGTAAGGTCTAATTATGGAATGTAGCTGCGCGCCACTCCATAACCCTATCATTGGAAACAACGGCGTGAAATGGCCCGTAAAATAACTAATCTTGCTGAATTTAACCACATACAGAAGGAAGCTGTAAAAATAGAATGGCTCTACTGTGGTGCACGGAGAGTCCTCTCCATGGCACTTGAGGTTTTGTTAGAGGTGACTTAGGTTGGATGAAACCAAAAGGCAAATTTGTTGATCTCAGTTGTTACAAGTCACGACTAAGACTAACCTTACCTACTCCCTATTTGATGATAAAAAGGCCATAGGGCCCTAACTGAAGGCTGCTTGATGGAATAATGCTATAAGTTTCTCCATGTCAACATCTCAACAAAAAACAGAGCAAATCAATTATTGCTTATAGCTGGGGCAACATAATGCCAATTATAGCACATGCTTATTTCTAGAGAGCAAAGATGTATTCATCCAATTATGCTATATGGATTTGATACTTTGCCCAATGACAGAAATCCTAATTTTGGTAACACTACAGCTGCTTCTTTTACACCAATTTACACACAGAATCTGCTTTTCATACGAGTGTTTCGATTCTGGCTGAGTCTGACTACATGACAATTTCCATCTAATCAGTGGAAATGATGGGGGTGACTCTGTTCCAAGAGAAAACTATACACTGGAAACCAAATCTAATTTATAAGAAAACAAAATGCAGAATATTTACAAAGTACAAGTGTATGCAACTATCATAGTACACACTGAAATTGGATGCTTCAGAACATCCATAATTGAGCATAACTGATGAAACTGCATTCAATTTGGCATATCCTTTTGCTAACACACGGAGGAGTAAGTAAAATCTTGTCAAACATGAGGACCGGGAAAGTGCAGTACAAGTTAAAATTGATTTCACACAGTAAATAACCATAGCAATATAGGAAAACATGTCTCTAATACATATGAACGACTGAAGTTTGCTTACCTTCGCAATTTCAGCTGGTTTTAGAGCTCCCTGTATGTCTTGCTTATTTGCAAAAACCAACAATGAAGCTCCAGCTAGTCTCTGTTAAATCAATATTGTAAGGATCAACGATTGGAACACTTTCTGAACAGGTAAAATTTTAGCCTACGGTAGCAAAGAGAGTATTCTTTACTGCCAAACACATGGCATTGTACTTCCTTAGTGGTTTGACCCTCAATGTTTGAAATGCTATTTCAGTACAATTTCAAACTAAAAACAAGGATATTCACAAAGGCATAGAGTTTGATACCATTGAGAGAAAAATATCCATTTTCCAGTTCATTAACCAAGATACCTCTGTCATTAAGTAAATAGGCATTATTCATTTATATCAATTAAAGGACCTCTCTATCATTTCGATCCAAATACCAAACAGTAAATATCAGTCATATTCCCATGGCATTGAAGGACCAAAATGTTTTTAATACAACAGTATTATAGAACTACGAAATATCCAGTTCATCACCATTGCTTAGAGGTCTGGTAATAGCATACCTCTTCTTTCAAGAGATTGTGGAGTTCAGCACGGCAATCATCAAGCCTCCTTATGTCTGAACTATCAACAACCCAAACTAATCCATCAGTCTGCTCAAAGTAATTTCTCCAGTAAGACCTGATCGTCTTCTGTCCTCCAACATCCCATATATTCAAAGAGTACCTAAGATAATCAATAAATTTAAACAATTAATCAGACCCACCAGCAGTAACATGGAAAAAGCATGATTGCCAGATTTGCTATGCCTGGTATTTGGAAAATGACAGGGCTGCAATCTCCATTGATTGAAAATTGCCTATGCTTCTGCTGAACTGAATGTTCCTAAAGTTCAACACTGTGCACTGAAAACCTATAGTAGTTCAACACTTCAAATGATGAAAATGCACCTGCAGCAGAACTTTTAGGTAGCTTGACAAGGAAGCTTCAAAATGCCAACCAATCTCCTTTTTGCATGAACCGACATGAAAAACTGGACTATCAACTTGCTACCAATGCAATTTTTATTTCCCTATCACTATTCTACAAACAGAGAAGTAAAATGTTCAAATTGTTTGTCAATGATGGCAGAACATGTGACGGCTACAAAGAAGGAATGTTGAATTTTGTCTTCACATCTTTATAAACCCTTTTATCACATAAGTTACTTCACACAGTGTTCTACTGTAATATTCCACTTAAATACTTAATATATTAACAGCAACCAAATCAGCATAAAAAAGGACGTACCCAGTGCAGAGAGCTCCCGCTCTGTGCGGGGTCTGGGGAAGGGTGTCAGTGGCAAGCCTTACCCTTGCTTGTGCAATGCGAGGAGACCGCGACTCGAACCCGGGACCTTCCGGTCACAGGCGGTAAGACTCTACCGCTTGCACCAGCAACCAAATCAGCATAACGAAAGAAAATGTTTTGGTGGGTTCTCACTGCATTTATCAGATGAACACACACCTAAATGAGTCTAGGTTATCTCAACTAAGTTGGAAGTGATGTTGGTTCTAAATTCCAAAACACAACTGATGGCACTTGACTGGAAACTCTCAACATGCCAACCAGTCTCCATTTTGTATGTACCAAGATGCAAAACTAGATTTCAACAATATTGCTGGCCTATGCAATTTTTATTTCTATACAAAAAATTGAAACTGTTTGTCTGATGTTGAAACTGTTCATCTGATGGCAGAACATGTGAGGGATATACAGAAGCATAGATGAATTTTGGCCATAATATTTTAATAGACAATTTTATCACATGATTTACTCTTTGCAGATTGGTCCCACTATAATATGCTGCTTAAGAAATTAACCATAATGTAGTAGACAGGGCGAGAAAATGTGTCGCTATGATTCTTACCATGTTATATCAGACGTACGTGCACACGATAGTCCACTAAACAAGCAAACAATCGCAACTAAGGTGAAAACTTCTAAAGGTTCTAAACTCCAACAGACAACTAACGGCATTAACCCGCATCAACAAAATCAATGTATAGCCTTTATATGTAAACCATGATGTTCCATTTGGTATTTAGCCTAACATAAAACTCCACTCTACTCTAAATCAAGTAACTATATGTCACTATGCATATGCATCGGAGCCAAACTGGACTAAACAGGAAGCGGAAGGAAGGGGGAACATACTTGTGGTACTTGATCGTCTTGATGTTGAATCCAAGGGTTGGGCTAATGACGCTGGTGTCCTCCCCGTTGATCTTGAGAACGATGGTTGTCTTCCCCGAGTTGTCCAGGCCCCTGAGACAAACACCGCAGAACACAACACAGAATCAGCCATCATGAATCAATGCAGATGCCAGCCAATTGAGGAATCCGACAACACGAGCACCAGATCCGAAGGAAAGCAAGAACCATGGGGAACAAATGCATAAGGGATCAGATGGAAAAGGAGGCCAGAGGGAACCTACACCATGAGGATGCGCATCTCCTTCTCCTTGCGCTTGATCTTCCGGATGATGCTGAGTAGCCCCATGGTCAGTGGTGGAGCGTGAGGGGGAGGGAGGATTCACCAAATCTGAACAAAGATGTACACGGCTTTTAGATTAAGTCAAATTTAATAACAAAGCATCAAGAATCCTCTCAAAAAAAATATCTGGATTTCCTTTGACAACAAATCATCGATCATATATGTATTGACAATTTCACCCCCCGGCATATAGAATCATTTGGGGATCCCAACTGTTTAACCTCCAACATATTCAATAATACATACATCAATTAACATCTTGAAAGTGTCATAGTTCTTCACATAACAATTTAACATTATAGATTGAAATGAAGTAATACAGTACAAATTACTTGGATGTGGAGGGTGGGTGCAAATTTAACATTTGGTCTTAAGGATTGAAAGCGCTTAAAATGTT